GGAAGTTTGTTGTCATAATACAAGTGCTGGTACTAAAATAGATGTTAGTTTGTTTGGTGTCAAACTGTACTATCCAAATATCAAACATGCTCCACATAGACAACTAGAAGTAGTCAACTATGCATCTGCAGCCGCGGGAATCAGAGATCAAATTGGACAGCAACTGGTATCCTAAACTTTCTTTCACTGCATTCTATCATCTTTCAACCCTGACAATATCCCCTTACAAGCCACCATGTTGATATCATCTTTCAACCCTAAGTGTATTGTTTGGCGTTCTGTCTTCCCCTCTCTTTTATTTGGTGTTTGCTGGGTGTTGATATTCACATAATTTTTGCATTCCACTTTGTATTCTTTTTTGTTGGAAAGAAGTTGTGGCTGGTTTGATTTGGTGGCCTGTGATTTATTAAGAGAAAAAGACTATGAAATTTTGTGGATGCTTGTTATGTACAAACCAGTTGTATTCACAATATTTAATATTTGATTTTAGTACAAAGGTTTCTTGAACTGCACCCAAAAAAAAAAAACTGATTTATGGGTGATTGTGTAAGCGCCTAGGATTTTACCTCCAATTGTCAGCTCTGACAATTAATAAACGCTGGTACTTTTTTCGACGAAAGAATAGACTGCACTCAAAACAAACGCTGTTATTCCTTTTGGCCGGCATCTATAAGCGCCAGTAATTGCAAAATTTCTTGTAGTAATTTCACTCTGGAGTATTTTTTTTTTCTCTGTATATTTCTTGGCTCCTAAAGAATAATATTTGTGAGTCTTTGGGAACCTTGATTTCATTTGGTCTTCTTTCTCTCACCAGGAGTGTTATTGGAAATAGGATCTAATCAAGCTGTATAAAAATTGATCATGTTTGGTTATGTACCTTGGGTTTCTCTCTCTCTCTCCCCTTTAAATGGGTTTCTTTTCTTCAATCATGTTGTCTAGTCCTTTTTTTTTCATTTTTTTAATGGTTATAGAAAGTCTAGAAGGTGAGGGGTGGAGCACAGCCACAAATTTGTTCCTTGATATCCTCCACTAAATCTTATTAGTTCAAATTTTATGAATTTTAATCAATCCAAGTTATCCACATTGAGCTCACTGAATCCTAATCTTAGGTTTCTGTTGGTCCCACCTACTCTTAGGTTTCCTTTTTTTTTTCTTCTTCTTTTTCTTTTTATAGTTTTGTGTGAGTATTAATATTCAAGTATTTTTGATTTGAATTTTTGAGCAGATATATACTAAATATTCTTATTTTTATTTTTGTTGGCTTTCATCCTCCAATTATGCATTTGGAAATTTGTATTTTTTTTTGTTTAGGTTTATAGTTTTCATTAGGTATCTAAAACTGTCCTACTCTGTTTCTGGGTCTAGGTTTTAGTGGAAGATAGATATGTTTATTTTGTCACCTCTTAATCAATTATTTGGGAGTTCTTTGTGTTGGAATATTAAACCCCCGAGTTACTATTATACTTTGTCAATGTAATATCATTGAACATCTAGCTTGTTTGATTATTTGATCGAAGTGGTTGCTCAATTGTTTATTATACAACACAATTTTTACTTAAACTCGAGTAAGATTGTCATTTCGTGTTATTGATATGTCAAATAGATAGATGTCTATTGTATATATTTACTATGGGTAATTCGTGTCCGAAAACACAGTATAATGTAAATGGTCTTGAGAGAAATGTTGGTAGTCGTTTAATGAGTTTATTTGAGACCAATGGATGAACTTGTTAAAGTTTGCCTTATTTTATATTGTAGATCTATTATTTGCATTTGATTTGCTCATCTTCCATGTTAAATTGACTTTTTCCTCATTCATAGTTATTTTATATTTGTATTTAGTTTTTGCAAAAATTTTATGAGCACAGCTACATTAACTTAAAAAGTAGATTTAAAAACTAAACTTGATAATTATAACCATTGATTTTCCTATGGGTCCCAGATTTATTAGGGTCCACTACCTATACAATGAATAAAATTATCAAATTTAGTTTTTAAGTCTAATTTTTAAGTTCATCTAACATTGCTCAAATTTTATATCCTTACATTTTTTTAGAGAGAGAAGGTTGAACAGTTGCCACTTGAACCAAGCAAGAGTTAAGCAAGAATATGTGATAACCTCACAAGTTGACGATGGATTGCAAAGAGTTTTTTTGGATAGCTAGATATCTTTTATTTTGAACATTTAAGATATTTGTTTATTATGGATAACTCATGTCTGACAGCACAGTGTAATGTGAATGATTTTAAAAGAAATGTCGGTGACCGTTGAATGAGTCTATTTGAAACCGCCAGATAAACTTATTGAAGTCTATCTTATTTTATATTATAGATAAGGTGGTCCGAACATCCCTCACCATTAAACCCAAAAAAAACTATTGTAGGTGTTGTATTATATTGATATACTAAGGGTAATTCATGTTTGAACCCACAGTGAAATGTGAATGATTTTAATAGGGATATTAGTGACCGTTAAATGAGTTTATTTAAGACCGTTGAATAGATTTATTGAAGTCTGTCCTGTTTTATATTATAGATTGGGAGGATGTTGCGACATTGGACGTTGGGAGTTTTGGATATTGTTGGATTTGTTGGGTTTATATTATGAGTAATGTATGGGTATTTTAATAATTGTGATGTGTTTGTATGAATTATCTAGGGTCATTGATGCATATTGAAATGAGTCGGAATTTTGAATAATCTACTTTTTTTAAAAAAATTTGGCGACAAAAAAAATCTCAACTAAACAATGTTCGACTTTTTTAGCGACAAACATATTTTGTTGCCTATATTTAATTTACTTATTGCTACTAACGAAATGAAGTTGGTCACTGAAGTTTTCAAATTTAGCAACGAATATAATGACCGCTAAAAGTTTTATGTGGTTAACATAATTTATTTTTTTCTGACGAAGATGTTCGACGATGATATTATTGCCGCCTATTTTATACTTTTGGCGACAAATATTTTGTTGTCGCTGAAAACTTTCTAAACGAGCCTAAGGCGACGAAATTAGTTCACCATTGAAAATTTTTAGTGACCTACTTGGTACATTTTGCGACGGGTCAAGTCGTCGCTAACAAGCAAAATTGTTGTAGTGGATTACCGAGAAAGGCAAATCTAGGAAAAAAAAAATGAATAACTAAGATATTAAAATAACTTAATGATCATATAAAGTGGATTGCTTGGGGATACTCCTATGAGATGTATCTAGTCCATGTTAAAATCTTGGATGAATACATTTTAACATAAGTGTCCTCTTAGGGTCTATGCTGGGAGTAATTAACAATGCATATCTTAGCCTAGGAAATTTGTTTCTATGTCTAAAGCTTTGATCATAGCTAGAATTCAATAAGTTGCTACAACTGCTTTTCATATGCAAGTAGGCAGTGTGTTGCATGGGTTCTTGGTTTATCCACACATATTTTTGATTCAGAGCCTCAACAATTTTGAAAATTTCCATAAAATATAAGTATTCACACTATTGAACTTATATATTCTGACTTGATATCATTGGAACCCAAAAACACCAACTAAAAAGCCTTACTAAATCCTTTGATGAAATTATAATCTAAAACCTCAAATCCTTTCATGTCTTAGTGAGAACATACACTAAATGTCAAACAATAAGTATCAGCCTGGGCTTTTGTGGAAGACATAGTACCACTGTAAGCTATCCTCTATAGTCTATTCTGTCTAATAGCTGTTAGACTAAAAGAAAAGCATATGGGTTGTATTTAAGGCTTTGCATACTACTTATTGCAATACAAAATCAATAAGCAGATTTCACTAGCTATACTGGCTAGTGGTTCAATCCGAATTGAACATCTCTAATTAGTACAAAATGCAGTAAGATTAGGTCAAATAATTGCCTTGTACATGGCCGAGTCAGTTCTTTCTCTCCTTTCCTACTAGATGAGTTTCGGTCTTAATGAACTCTATTGTACCAGGCCTTTGAAATTCAAGAAACATATCTCAATTTTGTTAATATTTTCCACAGCACCAATACAGTGAAACATTAAAAAATCTGAATATCTGAGGCGGAACTACTCTTTTCTAACATTAAAGCATGATAATAACAAGTCCAAAAGTAAAATGTGGAGTTTACTCGGTGTCCATAGATTTCTTGCCAAAGCACATGGAGCTTAAGCAGCTCAAATGGAATATGCTGCGAGATTTATTCTCATAAATCTCGAGAGGCTTTGTGTTTGGTAATATTATCTCTATGGAGATATGAAAGAATGTTAGTACCATGTCTTTTACAATAAGTGTATCCTTTATTTTGACATTCATGAAGAATAAAGGGATGGAATATGACAAGTGAAGAAGGTGGATTTTCAATTTCTGGAGGATTTATTCCCTGGTTGTAATTCAACTCACTCATATTCGTTACAATCAGGAAGCTCCCACCAACTCATTAACAGAGTGAAACCATGGACATGGATTGCTTACAGATTAACCATGGAAAGAATAGATTTCCACTTTGTTGTGTTTTGTTTTTCGTACTAAATGACAGAATCTGTAGTTCACAGATTACTTAGTTCTTCACCTAAATCTGGTGAGCAATCCAAATTAGTAATGAAGCTGAAATGGATAGTAAGCACAAATTCATGGAGGAGCAGGGAGCCAAGACTTTATACTTTGAAACTAAATATTTGTGCTTCTCGTTTTGAAAATCAAGTTAAAACATGAACTGTTTTGCTGCAAACTTGGGTTGCATGTCTATTGAGCTGCATTTGTAAATAAAGTGATTTTATTTGGACATGTGCAAAGTTTTATAAGTGAAATACAATCTACATAAACAGAATAAGAACAACTTTGTGGAATCTAATAAAATATATTCATGGTACATAGCCTGTAAAGTAAGATCACTAACTTTATATTTCAACTTTAAGAATACAGGTAAACAAAAATTTGTGCGGGCCTTGTGACCTCTTTGTATTGTGTTCGTATTGGTTGTAATTGCAAAGTCAAATTACAGAGTCCTCTTATGGTTCCAGTGGAGGTGCACTGGCACAAAGAGCCGGGATACAAATTCCAAAGACACCAGAAAATCACTTGGCCCTGGTCCCTGGATATGTTTTACAACATGACCAGGGAACAAACATTACTAACACTAGAATTTTCACAAAATTGCAGGTGCAATGGCATGAAGAGTCTGGGGTCCAAAGCCACTGGAAAATCACTTGGCCTTGGTCAGTTTTAGAGTTTGAACATGACCAAGTAACAAGCATCACTGAAACTAAATTTGTTGACATAATTGCAGATACACCAGTCAAGTAGCTTTGGAAGATTGATTAAGTGCCTTTGGAGCTTAACAAAAGCTGGGGGTGATTGGGAAAAACACCTTCTGAAATGGTTGTTTTAGGTTCTAGTTAATGTGACCCAGACAATCATAATGTGCAGCACCCTGCATCCAGGCATTGATATACTATGCATAACAACGACAAAAATACATTTACAAGTCAGTCTATGGATTCTGGGGCTACAGATAGCTTAATAGCTCGTAGTGGCCAGCATCCTTTCGCATGCACTGTATATAAGATCTGTTTTCTACTCGAAAAAGCTTAATGTTCATTAAAGATTGAATTCCCTTTGCAAAAGATATAAGATATTCTCTTGACCTTTGGGATAAGGAATGAGCCAATCCAACAGCATCACTCTTTATTCCAAAAAGATTAAGCTTCTGTTTCTTGATGTTGGCATGCAATTCAACCCCAAGGAATTATTATGCTAACAAACTTCTTTGGTGACTTTGAACAGTAAAGAAAGACTTTGTCATAGTTTTTGCAATGCCTGTCTTGATTATTCGCGAGCATAATTATCAAATGGGGTTATTTTTGATGTTGACTTTGTAGGTGGGATTCGATTGCGATTTGCTTTCTTGAAAGGGTGGAGGGCAATGATCTCTATATAAACCCAATGGGGGCATGTGCCATGGCATAGCAGTAAAAAACAAGTTGTAGAGCATTGTTTAGATTGATCAGAGAAGTTTCCAATAGTCCTCAAAGGCTTCCAATATTCCAGGACAATATTGGCATCAATATTGGAACGTTGGGGGCCTGCGAGGACCATTGAAGAGTTACTCTTTGTGTCTCACTACTATTCATTCAATTTCCACTGCCCCTTCATAAGTGAAAAAAAGAGTTTTGATCGGAGATGAAGCAAAGAAATTACCTGCAACAACATGGTACAACTTTGGTGTAATAGGTATTTTATTTTGTTTTTATAATTCGAAAATGCACAGTTTCCAAATAATTTTCCCATGGATTTAGGAGTCAAACCCAAAAATATTAGGACAATACTTTATTTATTTGAATATTTAGTAACCTCTTAGGTTGATAATAGTTTTAATGTCCCTTGGATGGCTAGAAAATGTGTATAGATTCACCAAGTTTGCTACTCGAAAGGACTCTTTGAACTCTTGGGAAACATCTGACCAAAAAAAAAAACTCTTGGGAAACTCTACTAGCATACCCGTGTTTAATCAACATGCATAAAATTAATGAATACTTCTATTTTTAGATTAAGCTACAAAGAACCTTTTTTTATTATTTGAACAATAACGCTAATTTCACAATAGAGCTTGACTACAAAAATTCCACTGAGCAAACAAGGGATCATTGAACTAAGAAATTCATGTGAAAAAACTACTCCAGTATTAACCTCCGAATATTCCAAATGGTTATTAGGTAATTATTGTTTCTTCTTCATTGTTAATTTGGAAGATGCTGGGAAATTCATGTGAAAGTACTTTGCACCTATCTCATGTCATCAATGCAGTATAGCAACGTGAACTCCGAAAAAACATAGTAGTTTTATGTCATCAATGCAGCCTGGTTCTATATATAGATGTCTCTCCTACCTCCCCCTTTCCCGTCTTCTCTCTCTCTCTCTCTCTCTCTCTCTCTCTCGCCTTATATATGCATAAACCTCATTGTATATATACATAGTTGTCATATATCTATATAGGAGTTCTATTACGGTATCGAAATGTTAGGTTTAATTATGGTACTTTCACTTTTTTTATTTATATATACGTATGTATGGTGGATTGCCAAATGACAGAGTGGTACAGCAAGGGATGTTTGTTCAGGAGTAGAAGTCCTTGGAAATTCAGCTTCTTCTGGTCTCTCTCCCTCAATGTCTATTCTACCGGGCTACTTCAATTTTGGGAGCTTCAGGAGGAGACTTTGGGGGCGAGGGATCAGGAAAATGCTGGCTTTCACAAGTAATGGGTTCATCGTATTTCCAAACGTAAGTTGATCACTTTGTGTGTGTATGTGGTGGTGTTTTTTTTTTTCTTTTTGTTTTTTTTTTGGGGGGGGGGGGGTGTTTAAGAAAATAATAATGACGTGGCTACAAAAAACATTTATCAAAAATTGTTTATCAATAATTGGAAATGGTTTTTTGTTTTTTGTTTTGGTCAAGAATAATTGGAAATGGTTTGATAAATGGATCTTATTCAAAAATTTGATAGGACCATTGATCCAATAATATATATTGATTTAATATGTAAAATTTGATAAACTTTTTCGTAAGTATAGTAGTTCTTACGTATAAGTAAGATGCTTTACCATTATTTGCAGTATGCTGTAGGGAAGGAAAAAATATTGGGTGCAACAGTGACGCCACGTCATCATTAACACGTAATGTTATTATCCAATAATAAATTTATAAATAAACAAGTGAATCTCACATAATCTAATAACCATCCTAAGTTACATTTTTCACGCCTCGTATCTATTATTCTTTATTACTTAAAATTGGTATGTAGTGAAACCAAGGGCCGCTGATTCACTGAAAGGTTAATTACTGCTGTCTGAACTAGGGATGGCAGTGGATGGGGAAAAAGCGGGTATTTGTCCAAACCCGTTTTGTTTGGACCGGAGATAGACTATACGTATTGAACAGTGGACGTATACGAAAATACACGTATAAATCCGTACTAAAATGAAGGCAGGGATAGACTTATCCTTACCCCCGCCCCGTCCCGCCCCTCCCTTCCCCGCCCCCACTGCCCGTTATATATATATACTCACAAGCATTAATTAAACATATTTACTATAACTACTAATCTAGAAATATGGTAATCAAACCAAAAAGTGGCATTGCTATGTGATAATCTTATCAATTTTTTTCCTGATTATTCTTTTATCTATTTGTGTTCACTGATTGAAACTGTTAGGAGTTTGGATTGATCATTCTCTAAAAACAGATAAGAGAGAGTAAGATAGTTTTGCATTTCATTGTGGATAGAAATATTGTGAATGGAGGTTGATAAATTTATCTGCTAGAGTGAACTAAGAAATTGAGAGAATTATTGAATTAGCGAAATTTTAAGTTTTCATCTTTTAACACTTTTATGGCTGTAATATGAATTGAAATAATAAAAATTTTTCTAAGAAACTTCAAGTGTAGTGCTATCATTTTCTTAGTTCAATTTTATTTTTCTTTTTTTTATTTCTCTCTAATAGTTCCGTTTCGCTTTTTGTGGTCCAACGACACTTTCAACAGAATACTATATTATTTTGGCTTTCCATGATGTAATCTAGATTATTTAGAATATTGTTGAATTATTTAAAATATTATATTTATTTAGAATTTTGAATTATGCTACTTAGGCTTGAGTTTAAGCGGGTATGGGAAAGCGGGGACGGGGACGGGGATTAAAAATTTATCCGTGGACGGGGATGAAGATGAAAATTATACACGTTAACGGGGTAGACCGGGAATAGACAAAGTTTTTTTAAAGCGGGTACGAAGATGAAGACTATACTCCCCCGCCCCCACTTTAGTCTGAACTACTGGTTCCAATTAACACAACTCCTCTATATACAGCTTTATGAATTAAATGGGAGCTGCTTCCAGAGGGTTTTCTTAAAATCAACACAGATGGAGCCTCTAATGACAATGCGGGAGAAGCTGGGGGAGGGGTTGTTCAGCCTAATCAATGGGGACAGTTAGTAGTTGCAGGCTCATTTTATTATGGGCATTAAACTAATCTGGAAGCAGAGGGTCGAGCTATGCTTGATGGTTTGATCCTATTGGAGGACTATGGCTTGTTGTTTTATCCATTTATCATTGAGTCAGACTCTTAAGTATTATTGTATATGATTTCTGGTAAAGTTAGCACTCTATGGAGACTTAGGGGATTGATTGCTCGAATTTCCAGGAAATTGAGTAATCTGTCTTCTACACTTTTTTTTTTTTATTCTGTCTTCTACACTGGTTCACACTGACAGAGAAGGAAATATGGTGGTTGATTGCTTATCCGTCTATATAATTATCATATCAGCTGTTTTTTCAGTTGACCAATCAAATCAAAGCCTTATCAGATTACAGGCTTTTCAACTGTCCTTATATGATCAGAGCTTTTATCAAGATCAGAGCACCAGGCCTTATCTGATAAGCTTTGCTTTTAGCTTAAATGCCTTCAGCTCAATTCTCTCAGCTTACTATGGCTCGCAGCTCATGCTCCCAGCTCATCCTTTCAGGTTACAATTAGGGGTGTCAAACTTGTCGGATTAAATGGTTACGTGTCAGGTTAAACGGGTGACGGGTGAAAAATATATAAACTTGTACATGACATGTTTAATAAATAGATAAAAAAATCTAAATACGAACACGAACCATTTAATAAACAAATAACACGACGCAACTCGTTTAACTCGTTTAATTTTATTAAAATTTTAACCCACAGCAAAAAAACTATCTTATTAAAATTTTAAACTCCATTAATTATCCACACCAACTGTACTCTTTTAATTAAAAGATTTGGGTTACCCGAGACTCGACCGCCTCATAAAACGCAAAAAAATTCAACTATCTCGGAATTCGATGAAATTTGATGTGATAATTAGGTTTCGTGAGATGAATCCAACGATGAGGTCCGTTTCATCATCCGAGATCTAGAAAATTTCAGGTTTTCAACCCATACTATAACGACAAAATTATCGTTTTGCCTTTGTTTACAAAAGTTTAAATTTATCGGGTTTTACAAATGCATTGGGTCAATTTTACGAGGCTTAATGGGTAATTAAAACCCCAGAGATTGGGGTGCCACGGATTATTTTGATTAAGTATTGATTTTAGGATACATAAGTCTTCTAAAAGATTTTTTATGTTTTCTAGAGCAATTTTAAAAGTATCTATGTTTTTTATGTTGTTTCTCAATTTATTCTCGAATGGATTAGCACCAAAGAATTGAAATTTTTGATTAT